TGAGTGGACGAGCTCACAGCCCACCTGGTGTTAAGTGGTTACGGGAGCCCATAGACATCCACAACGTAAATGCGACACCCACCTTGAGATATAAGTTCTAAGATCTCAGTATAGTTACAACGGCTGCCCTAAGTTTTGTGTAGTTTTGTGATAGTCAGTTTTTTTACTGGTGGTAGGACCTCTTGTGAGTTCGCGCAGGTAGGTACCACCGCTAAGCCTATTTCTGCCGTGAAGCAGTAATGCGTTTCTGTTTGAAGGGTAGGGCAGCCGTTGTAACTCTACTGAGGTCTTAGAACTTATATCTCAAGGTGGGTGGCGCATTTACGTTGTAGATGTCCATGGGCTCCAGTAACCACTTAACACCAGGTGGGCTGTGAGCTCGTCCACCCATCTAAGCAATAAAAAAATAAAATCAGCGCAGTTTCAGGAAAATTCTGCACAGCATCCATAGACACAGTGGAGGTGGATTACCATGAAGTGGGGATATCCTTCGTGTTTTTACCATTACTATAAACCTAGAAGTCACACAACCTACCTCTGTAATCTTTTAGAGAGTATCGCATGCTCTAAGTATCATAATAATTAAGAGTCGCTAAAACAATCAAGAAGATTGACCGTGATTGATGATGAATTCAATAAAAGAAGTGCGTTTTTTAGTCGTAATTTACCACAAAGTTTAAAGGATTTTTAATAAGACAAACAGAGATTTAATAGTATGTTATTTAAATTTATTTATTTTTTATTTATTTATTTATGTACACACAAAAAAGAAGACATAGTACAGAGTAATAGGAAAATTATGTACAAAGGCACTGCTTATTTCTTTAAGAAATCTCTTCCAGCAGACCTGCGAAAGGATTATGAGAATAATAATTATAAGTGATGTGTGTGTGTAGAGCAGCTAAAATAACAAATACAATATGAGAATTATAGTAATGCACATACACATAGCAAATATTGTTAAACTTGAATACAAAATATTAATATTTAAATTAATTTAAAATTTAAATTATACACTTTCCAAAAATGTAAGACGAGATTATGTAGTAAAATTTGAGCAATTGTACCAACGATTTTGATCATAAGTAGATTTCCGTAATTATGATACTCGTAAATATCATAGCGATTTCTCAGAGAGCTTTATAATTTTTTTCACTAATTAATACTAAATCAATGAAGAATTTTATGAATCAATGCAGAATTAAAATAACTACTCGATGCGACATTATTTCAAATATACACATAGGTACACATATACATCATACATACATACATTTATATTACAGTTTTTAATGAGTATATACTTGTATAATTAAGAAATGCATAGTCAACTAAAATCGCATGGTTACTTTTTCAAACTGTTACCATTTCGTTGCTTAGCAACGAGTGTCATCAAAGTAATTACTGTTTATTTTGATACACTGTTAAGTGAGTTTATTTTGGTTGCTCATATAGCCATCGACTTCATTCAACTTTCAACATAAGGATATCAATTTCATCATATTTTGACAAGTGCCGTAGTCTTGCGTGACACGATATCAAAAGACCAAGCCAACAAATTCTCTAGGGTATACATTATAGAAATAACCGCCTGTAAATTTATAAGATTGTTCGAACTATAACAGATATGACGTGCCAGTCAATTATGACAAGAACAAGAAAAAAAAAGTTCAATTCCGGTTTTGCTAATAACAGTCTAATCTCAAAATTTCACTTAAAATATGACACTTTTTAGGCCACATACGTAACAAAAAAGCATTTGAAGTAACGCTTGTTAATAAAACTTTTCAATCTTTTTTACTGGTGGTAGGACGTTTTGTGAGTCCGTACGGGTAGGTACCACCACCCCGCCTATTTCTGCCTTGAAGCATTAATGCACTTCGGATTGAAGGGCCCTTTGTACTACACTAAGATCTTAAAAATCATATCTCGAGGTGGGTGGTGGCATTTACGTTGTAGATGTCTATGGGCTCCGGTGACCACTTAACATTAGGTGGGCGTTAGAGTTCGTCCACCAATATAAGCAATAAAAATATACAAAAATCTAGTGTAAAGCTTAAAGTACAGTCCCATTCTTTAAGACAGCCGACAGTGACCAACACAATCCATAGTAAAACATTCGTTAATGAAGTTGTTTATAATCTCATATGAAAACACAATTGATCGGAAAAAAAAAACAGGAAAATAACGTACGGGCTATTAAGCAAATGTGGTTATTACATGCGCGACAACAGATAAGCGATCTACATGCGACGGCCGGCTGGTAATTGACAGGTGCGATCGCGTGTTACGATCTGTAGTTGTTAAACGGATGGCTACGTAATGTATGAGAATGATTATAATGAAAACATAATATGTGAGTTAAATTTAAAAACGCATTTTTGTTTGGTGTGTTGTTTAACTTAATTACTTCGATTATAATTAGAATGTTCTTGATTGACAAGATTATTCTTGACAGATTAGGAGATTGACATATTGCAATCATGCAGGATTAGGGTTTTCTCTGAAGGTAATTTTGAGCCTTTTTTTGTAATTTTTTTTTGCTTATATGGGTGGACTAGCCCACAGCCCACCTGGTGTTAAGTGGTTACTGAAGCCCATAGACATCTAAACCATACATATGCCACACACCTTGAGATATAAAATCTAAGGTCTCAATTTTTACAGTTCCTTCACGACAGAAATAGGCAGAGTAGCGGTACCTACCCGTGCGGACTCACAATAGGTCCTACCACCAGTAATTACGCAAATTATAATTTTCGGGTTTGATTTTTATTACACGATGTTATTACTTCACTGTGGAAGTCAATCGTGAACATTTGTTAAGTATGTATTTCAGTATAAAAATTAGTACCGGCCTGCGGGATTCGAACACCGTTGTATTGCTAGATACGAATGCACCGGACATCTTATCTTTTAGGCCACGACGACTTCGACGACGAAGCTGTGAAATAATACGGTCTGCTTACCTTCGATAAAACATTGAAGAAATTAGCTATCGCATCATATTGCTATGGATTGAACGGTATAAAAAACGTAGAATTTTGGAGCACGTTAATTTGTTTTAATAATTATAAACATGTAAGATTTTAGAATCAATTTCAATAAAACAAAAACGAAATTATTTATAATAAAAGCAATAACTTATCGAATGACTGCAAACTCACATAATAGCTGTTGAAGCTCACTTTGATAAATACAATGCTTTCTCGTTCTTATTATGACTTATTATTATTTATTGTGCATCTCTATATGCAACACAATAAAAATAAAATGTCTGTTCATCGTATTAATGTAATAACCTTATGACGATTGGTGCTATTCTAGAGTTTTATTTTTAAACTAAATCAATGATCATTTTTAACTTTTGATATTTTATCTTTGTTTTATTTACATTATTTAGAACTAATATGTTTTACCAAGCTAGATATGCAGAGCATATTTTGTGGTTATATACGAGGTCATAATCTGGTGGCATGCTCAACTATATGATCCCATGTGAAAAATATTTTCAGCATGTCAATTCGAATGATGTTTTTAAATTAAGAATAAATTACCTCCAGCGATAAAACTATGGTATAAACTTCAATAATATACACTTATATATTTAAATTTCTACAATAATATTTAATAAATATTGTTGTTGCATTGCTGAATGAACTGATATCTCGTTTGACGTTAAGTGTTTACCAATGCTTATTGATATCACCTCATGTAAAACCAGAAACATTAAATCGCTGATTTAATTGTATTGGACAGTCACACAGCTAAAGTCCTAGTATTGCAGATGTCCATGAGCTACGTTGACCATTGACCATCAAGTTGAATGCGTCCTCTTAATATATCGAAAACAAAATAATACCATTCCGCTATTTAAGATGTTGCCATGAGCTCACACATATTCGCTATTTCAGCCGATAAGCAGTAATGCATTTCGGTTTGAAGTTTAAGGCAGCTGTTGTACTGAAAAAACTGAGTCTTAGAATTCATGTCCTACACCTTGGCGGAATTTACGCCATTGATTTCTATGGGCTCGGTTAACCCCATAATACTCGATGGGCTGTGAGCTGGTACACCCATTTAAACAATAAATAATAAAAAAACGAATCATGTATCCAATACCCAACGATTTCAATGATTCGCTGGAAGCCTGAAATTCTTCGCGAAACCATGCCAATATAATTCATAAGTCCTAACCTACATTACGATCGCACCAATATCTTTCATTTTCCGAAACAGCAAACAGAGAGCGTGCAAAATAAATAAAATATTTCTTCGGATACCTAAAGTTGATTGCTTTAACCCCGCCCACCGAAGCACTATATCCGTCTTACTCTAACACCAGCTTTTCAAATGTATTTCATTCAGCGACGTGGTATTTTTATGTAAAGAGGCTTAATTGTACACTCAGAACGACTAATACTATTAATTATTATTAATAGGCAGCTTTTGAAGTTGATTAAAAGTACTTGATGGAAGGAGGTTACCGTCACGCGTGGACGCGATAGCTAGTGCTTTTATCAATCGCAAAGAACACTTTATTCTACCTAAGCGTAGTCTTGGTGAAATCTGTGATTATAGAAGCTTAATAGTCTTTGAAAATACCTATAATTTCCCGGTACACAAACATTTTACTAATACTAAGCGTATGGAGAGTTTTAAAAAATTCATTTGACTCCATACCTACTTTGTGTAATGCAATCACAGCGATTCGGTTCTCTTTATCACCCCATTCCATTTTAACATCGCAAAATATTGTACAATGTATAGGCGCCAAAATGAGAAAACTCAATGAGCAATCATATAAAAATGACAGATTCCAAATTCAAATGTATTTTTTATTTGTAACAGTATTTATGGCCAGACTAAGTATATTATGTGAAGTAAGCAACAAAAAAAAAATCAAACCGCAAGTCCCTTATCTCTACGTCTCGTTTAAATACTGAACGTTTATTCCAACGTGAATATAATTCATTAACATCAAATGTTCTTATTTTCAGATGAATCGAGCGATACAAGTGAAGCCGGCGGATAGTGAAAATCGAGGAGGTAACATAATATTTCAATATTATCAACATTAGATCTAAGTTTACGTTAAGAACAAAGTTAATTTACTAACACACGCCGTTCAGGACTTCTTAGTTATTAGTTTTATTTGTAAAAACTAGCCGATACGTTTGTTAGTTTGTACGACATTGATTATAATTGAAAATAACGAATGTGTATGTATGTAAGAAGACTCTAAGGAATTACGCAAGTATTGGTTCGCCAGCAATGACAATCTCATCCGATATCCAATGCTACGTTTGCTGTGATAAGGGAAAAGAACAGAGTATAATAGAATGTACATTGTGACAGTAAGAATAATAAATAAATTAAACCTAAGTGTACGTCTAGTCTCGTCCATATTTCAATAGATTGTTAGCCTATTTTGATACTTTTATACAAGTCGTTTTTATATCGAGTAAGAAATCAAAATGTAATTTTGTATTCATCTTAGACCGCGTTTATATATAGCAATAAGTTAACCGTGAGCATTGAGCACTCCTGAACAAGTTTTACATGCCCTCGTTTAAACATATTAAAAATTGATAACACGATAACTTTATTAATGAATTTATTAATAAATATCAAATAAAAAAACTTAAATCGAAATTTCAACCATCAAGCAAAAGTTATTTGAACATAAATTTGAAACAAGTTTATTGTTTCTTTTAAGGATGGTTGATTATTTTTGTCATGTCCTAAAAGTAGCTTTTATAAGATGAAATTAGCGAGGATGTAAATTAAGCGCTTCTGAAGACTTCGTGAAATAAACCACGTGTTAACTAATCTGCTGTTACAGCGCATACATTAGCTATTATTTAATGGAATATGCGGTATACTAATCTATCTTCAATGCACAAAATCGCAAACAGCCTTTTTCTATATCAGTACATTATTTATAAATTGAATATCGTTTTCATTGATTATTTATCGGGAACTTATTAGGATTGTCAATATTTATCAGAATTATTTATATTTAGCTTGGAATCACTGTTTTTTTTTTGATATTGAAATCAATGAACAAGGTTTATTATTTTAAACCGCATACATCCATGACTTATAAGCTGACTAGCTGACCCGGCATGCTTCTTAGTGCCTCAATCGATAAATAAAAGACCTAAACTTTTGTATAAAATAAACATAAAACAAACAAAAGTAATCCGTCCGACGGGGGACACATCAAAAGAAAAACATTTTTAATTTTTTTTACCTTTTAAACCTTCCCTGGACTTCCACAAATAATTCAAGACCAAAATTAGCCAAATCGGTCCAGCCCTTCTCGAGTTTTAGCGAGACTAACGAACAGCAATTCATTTTTATATATTAGATAGAAGATAGATATCGAGCGAAGTACCATATAAAATTCCCGCCTGAACTGTAACAACCACGATTAAGTTTATGAATTCACGTTGAATAATTAATGAATTTGTACTTAATTTATTGTCTCGAAGGAATGCTTTGAACGAGTTTAATAAATTGCATACTCAATTTGATTGAAGGCAATGTTATAAAGCAAATTTTATGGAGATAAATAGAACCGTGTTTCTAAATAAGACATTCGATCCTGTTCGACAACAAAAATTATTGTCGCCCATCTGGTGTTAAGTGGTTACTGGATGTCTATCTACAACGTAAATACGCCACCAAACTTGAGATATAACTTCTAAGATCTCAGTATAGTTACAACGGCTGCCCTACCCTTCAGACCGAAACGCATTACTGCTTCACGGCAGGAATAGGCAGGGCGGTGGTACCTACCCGCGCGGACTCACAAGAGGTTTTACCACCAGTAATTACGCAAATTATAATTTTGCGGGTTTGATTTTTATTACACGATATTATTCCTTCACCGTGGAAATCAATCGTGAACATTTGTTGAGTACGTATTTCTTGAGTATGTTTTATTACTATATTTATATTTTTATCTTGTCTCTTATCTAGTCTAATTTATTCTGTACACTAGCCATATCTAACTATCTAGCCACTAGCTATCGGTAATATGAAGTAATATGCCAGAAACTGGAATCTCTCACTCTCTAGCTTACGGCTATTTAAATGAACACGTCTTCCGTTTGAAGATCTTTCCTTTGTCGTTCTCAATAGATGCAAAAACCACAATACGAACTAGAGAGATGTGAACAGATCGATTAGTAGTAATAATAAATCGATACGGTAATGAAACCCTATGCAATCTGATTAGTATATCCAAAACAACAATGAGTAAAAACAGTAATGTTTTATTTCCATTACCTTAGCATTCCATTAGCTGTATATTATTTCCTGCTTAATTTTACCAAACTTAAGTATATTATATTCGATAAAATAAAAAAATACATCTGACACACTGACCTACATATATGGGACGGTCGTCCAACTAGACATCAAACAAAAATTATTCCTTTGAAATATAAATAGGCAAGATGACATTACCCTTTAGGGTTCAACTTCGCGGCGTCCGTCCTTACAGCGTAACGATTTCCAATCATTTTCAGTTTACGACGTAAATAATTTAAACCGTAAACCGCCGCATGGGGTCGGATTGACCTGACGTGCCAACAGCGCGCCCTAATATCATTATTTCAGAAATGTCAAAATAAATGACGTGAACGAAGGCGGGCGGAGTCGCGGTATCAAGTATTCATACGGTTTTTGCCTGTTCTGGCCTCGATACGTTTGGATTGACAGTTCGTTCAATAATTCAGAGCTGCGTGTGATTATTTTGACGCCGCACACTTCGAGTTTTACGATTATTTTTTTTCGTTTTAACACAAAAAAATTTAATTGTATTTCTAGTAAAAATTATTAGTATTAGTCCTTTAAAGCTAAATGAAACTTATTTGCGCTTAATAGCGAAAAATCGATCAAAAAAATTCACGTTTTCCCTTTTATTATTATAAATAGTCAATTAAAATATAAATTGTATAGTATATATAGTAATATAAATAGTTAATTAAAGTATTATTCAATTCTGTTTTAAGATAGAAAAATGTTACTGCTCTATTTTTTATCGATGGCAGTTAAGCAATTAATGTACTAAAAAATTATTGACGAACAATCGAAAAAATTGTATTATGCTTCTTACATTTTTATCTATAGTTAAAATGTTACTTAAAACAAGACTAAAAAAACGTTACATAAGTAATCCCAAACTTAATTAAGTCGAACTCGTAGGATCCCTTTGATTGTCATAATTTTCAATTTACGACATCATGTCCTAGTTCTAATTCAATTTTGGGGTCTAAGTGACCCAAGCAGGGAGCGGGTTACACAGTTGGTGGCCATCAAAAACATGGTTAATCCCAAAGGAAATTATAGGAACTTAAGCGCAGAATAAGTTAGTGATGGGACGTTGCGATTACAGATTATGTTTTTGGTCATCAACTTAGAAGTTTTGGAAGCGACAATGAATATCAGTAAATCACTGGAGTTTGAATGTGGTGTACAGTTAGCAAAATTCCAAATTTTACATGAAGTATTATATTGTATAAACCTAATATTTTATAAACATTAAGTGTTATATTTCCTCACTTTTATTTTTGTGACGTCTGTATATAGATACTTTTCAGAAAATCTATTAGCCCGGTAAATATGTTTCATTTCAAATCAGACTGTCAAAAGGTGTGTAAAGCAACCCATATGTTTTCTATAACCTAAAATATCGATGCAACAACGAGCAACGCCTAATTAATTAATGTGGCATTTGAATGATACGCTACCCACAAAATGTTATTGATTATCGGAAAATTTCCTTTGGCAAGATTAGCTTTGTGAAACATTTCGAATAATGGCAGCTTTGCGAGTCATGAAACCCTTAAAATATTTATTAATCTAGAGCCCAATAACTCTTCTTTTAGATCAACACTGTTTATATTTCACTACTTTAATATGAAGAGCCATTTTATTTGTAATTAATTGACACAAAGTAACAGGTCTACATAGCTATAATTAACTATTAAGAACATTGGGGTGCCAAGTATGTTACTTTAAGAACTGGGCAGTATTTTTCGCCATATTACGACCCTTGAAGATCTTTTGTATCATTCCTTTATCCTTTCTCTTTATTTTCAAGCGCTCGCATGAGTCGTGTAAGTGCTTGGAGATGAGACCCAAAAGAAATTTTGGTGCGTTTCTGTAACTCTTGAAGAATGTGAACGGGATTTTCGTTTGTGCCAAACTCAGTTATATAGTTCAGTTTGAAGAGTGGGATAGCTGTTAAACAGTACATATAAGACTTCGATATCATTTTTCAAGATTAGTGTAGATAGAGTAGTGGCATTAACATAGTAAGTCAGTCTTTGCGTTTGGATGGTCAGTTAGCGTTAAATGAGTTATGAGTTCATCCTCATTTAGAGCAACAGCATTAAAGTCGTCGCGGCCTAAAAGATAAGACGCCCGGTGTATTCGTATCAAGCGATGCGACTGTGCCTGTGTTCGAATTCCGGTAACAGGTACCAATTTTTCTAATTAACACTCATGTCTCAAATTGGGTGGCGACATTTACTTTGTAGATATTTCTAGATTCCGGTAAACTCTGAACACCAGGTGGACCATCCATGTAGGCAATTAAGAAAAACTTTAATAGCAGGACAGCAATTTATCGATTAGAACTGACATCACATAAAGTATATTGTAATAGTTGTTACGTTATAATACTCATTGTAAAAATGAATATTAAAAAAATATCTATTATATTTTTTTTTATCTAATATTAAAAAAAAAAAAACATGACCGCTGAGTTTCTTGCCAATTCTTCTCAGGACGGATTTTTTTATTATTTGATTTGATTTGATTTGATATGGTCTCAAAACATCGGGCTCTTTAAAGTGACGTCATTAATGTCCTAAAACCAAACCTTGAAGAGTAGCCAGCCGAGTTAATAACATTCTAGCCACAAATTACACATCATTGCCACACTGTATTACAATGACTGCGGAATAGCTCAAAGAAGCTTGGTTTACGTCATAGAACCTCACCCTTCATGATTACAGGCTTGTATACACATT